AGAATTTTTTTTCCCCCGAAGGGTATGACATGCTCTGCCCTACAAAATGGGAGAAAGTATCAACTTTAAGGCCACTTTTGAAGCGAACATATATATAGTTGTAATAATTTCAAGCCGGTTGCTTGTAGTTTAACATGATCACGGTATAGATTTTTGGCAACCCAAACGCCAGATTTAAAGTCGAACCACTCCACAGGCGGTTTGGGCCGGCCACAAAAGGATTATTTTAAAGTTGGGCAGTCGTAGTGAAGGGTGCATACACTTTTCAGCCAACTCATTAGTTCTGCTGCTCAATCAGTCAACCTCCAAAGACTGGCTAACTTCATTTTAAACTGTAGATAGGGTAGGTCAGTTTAAGGGTAAAAAAAAAAAAAAACTGAATTTAGATACTTATAATACTACTGTACTCTAACATGGCCAGATTGCTGAGTTCATTACCAATTACTTCACAGTCACTACTGAGTTCGAACAGGTGCCAAAACTAGAATGTCGTCCCAGGGCATTCGTTCAATGCTCATTGCTGCATTTTATCTTTCCCTATCCCTGTCTCAAGTTTACGCATTTGAGTCTGGTTGATGAACTTGTAAATCTGATTAGCATATCAGGACTGCCTCTGAGTTTCGTGATGTTTCTGCTTCTTGGTTTTGTCTCATTGCCTGGTTTGATATTCAATCTGATAGGGAATCCGCAATTGAAAATGAAACTTGCAGCTAGTGTTGTCGAAACCTTCAGTTTGCCGAAATCTTCTTCCATTTCTTTTGCATGAAAGTCTCATAAAAAACTTGTATTCTCTTTAGTTTGATATTACAAAAGTATTTGGTACTAAAGGCTGATGTGTCTATATCTAGGACATGGATAAAACTTGGATGAAGATTAGCAATAGGAAGGACAAGGCTTATGAACTCGAAGTCAAAAATTTCCTCAAGTTTGCATATTCTCAAAAAGTTGAAAATCAGAAAATCCCATGCCCATGTACACAATGCAATAATTTTTGTAACCAAACTAAAACAGTTGTGGAGGATCACTTATTGACTCAAGGCATTCATAAAAGCTACACAAGATGGATACACCATGGGGAACAATTTCGGCACCAAAATTGTGGGGATAGTACTAAACATGGGGATGGAGAGGAGGATAGTGATACTGAAGATTTAAATGACATGTTGCACGACATTGGGACAGCACAATGGGGGGACAATTGGGCTGGTAGGGAAGAATCAACGGATGATAGTCTAAATGCGAATCATAGTGACACAAATAACTTTCTTAAATTGTTAGAAGATGCAAAAAAGGAGCTGTATCCAGGGAATCATTTTTACTCAAAGTTATCCTTTGTAGTCACTTTGCTCCATTTGAAAACAATGAGCGGGTGGACCATAAAGTCCTTCAATGCATTGCTGGAAATTTTTAGCCATGCACTACCTCCTGAAGCCACAGTTCCCAAGTCTTTTGCTGATGCTAAGAAGCTCATTCGAGACTTAGGTTTTAAATCTGAAAAAATCCATGCTTGTGTCAATGATTGTGTTCTCTTCCGCAAGGAAAATGAAAATTTTGACACTTGTCCAAATCTAAATTGTAAAGAACCTCGCTACAAGATGGCAGGTTCAAGAGTTCCACGCAAAGTTTTGCGTTACTTTCCTTTGAAACCTAGGCTGCAACGATTATATACCCACAAAGAAATAGCTTCAGATATGAGATGGCATAAAGAAAAGTGTGTGCATGATGATAACATCATGCGGCATCCAGCAGACAGTGAAGCATGGAAACACTTTGATAGGTTGCATCCGGACTTTGCCGTTGATCCTAGAAATGTGAGGTTAGGTCTTGCAACTGATGGTTTCAATCCTTTTGGGACCATGATTAGTGCTTATAGCATCTGGCCTATTTATCTAGTGCCATACAATCTGCCCCCTTGGAAGTGTATGAGAGATCCTTTCTTTTTCCTATCAATGCTAATTCCTGGGCCTAAATCCCCGGGAAATGAGATTGATGTTTACATGGAGCCTCTAATAGATGAACTGAATGAAATGTGGCTTGGTGTTGAAACATATGATGCATATAGTGGCAAGAAATTTGACCTCCGGGCAGCTTTACTATGGACTATAAATGATTTTCCAGCTTATGCAATGCTGTCCGGATGGAGTACGAAAAGGTATCAAGCATGTCCTATTTGCATGGTTGAGACAACTTGCGTACATTTACCACACCGAAAAAAGTTGTGTTACACAGGTCATCGCCGCTTCTTACCCATTGACCATTCTTGGCGGCGAGAAAAAAAACCTTTCGATGGCAATGTGGACTTTAGGAATCCTGTTGCACCTTTATCTGGAAATGAAATTTTGGATCAGGTACAAAATATGGAGGTAAATTTTGGGAAGACCAAGGCGCAATCCAATGCAAAGAAACGCAAGCGTTCTGAGAGTGGTTTGAACTGGACAAAGAAAAGTTGTTTCTTTGAGTTACCATATTGGGCAGACCTCCTTCTTAGGCATAATTTGGATTTAATGCATGTGTCAAAAATGTCTCAGAGGCTGTCATTGCCACAATTATGGATATTGAAAACAAAACCAAAGACCACTGGTTGTGTCGTCAAGATTTGAAGGATTTGGGTTTGAAAAAAGAGCTACATTTGATTCCAAATGGCGACTCTTATATCATGCCACATGCCTGTTACAGCCTAACCAAGGAGGAGAAAAAAAAAGTATGCGAGTTCTTGAATTCTGTCAAATATCCAGATGGGTTTGCCTCAAACATTTGCCGATGTATAAAGAATGGCCAGTTTCAAATTTTTGGAATGAAAAGTCATGACTTCCACATTTTTATACAAAGGCTACTCCCACTTGCAATCCGTGGAAGTTTAACAAAAGAAGTTCGGCAAGTGCTATTCGAGTTAAGTGAATTCTTCAAAAAATTATGTGCTAGAACATTACATAGAGAGGTTCTGGAGGAGTTAGGCCAAAAAATTGCAGTCATCTTATGTAAATTAGAGAGGTTGTTCCCTCCAGCTTTCTTCGATATAATGATGCACTTGATGGTTCACTTATCCTTGGCGGTCCAGCTCAATATCGTTGGATGTTCCTATTTGAGAGGTAGAGAGTTGAACATATAGCCTTGTAAGTTTTTTTTTATTAAAGACCACTGCAATCTTCTAATTTCTTTTATTTTCCTTTGAGAAAGACATATGGCAGTGCTGAAAAGTTATGTTGGGAATAAGGCCCGGCCAGAGGGATGCATTGCTGAGCGGTACATAGATAAAGAATGCTTGACATTCTGCTCTATGTACCTAGACAATATTGATACGATATTCAACAAGCCTGAACGAAACAATGATAGGGGATATAATACTGGTGAATTGTCCATTTTTTCATGCCCTGGTCGTCCATTTGGAGGTCCCAAAAGGGGCAATTTCCTTGACTCAGAGCTGGAAAAAATTCATACATTTATATTGAACAATTGTGATGAGCTTGAGGACTATATAAAGCAAGCTTTTAATGTTAATTAAAGCTTGTACCTTTGTTCTATATTTTGATATGTTCAAAGGCAAATTTATACAAGGTGATTGTTTTTGTCTATAGTGCGCATAAAATGGAGTTGGAGGCAGAGAGTGCTGAAAATGTGGACCAAAGGCACGATAGAGAATTTGCAAAATGGGTTAAACAACGTGTATGTTTGTAGTGTCATTTGGACAACCTACTTTTTTTTTATCTCTAATACAATAAATTACTGATTTAGGTGAAATTGTCCTTACTAGGTTATGTATGGCAGCGAGGCTTCCAATGGTGAGCTTAGAGCATTAGCATTTGGGCTAGACAACCGAGTTTGCATGTATACGGGTTGCATGGTTAATGGGTATAGGTTTCACACGAAAAATCGGGAAAGGCAAAAAAAGACTCAAAACAGTGGTATTGTAGTTAGAGGTGAGCATGGTAACAAAATGATCGATTTTTATGGTGTGATACAACAAATTATTGAAGTAAGATACTGGCTCGGGAAAAAAAAGGTTATAGTATTCAAGTGTGACTGGTGGAAGACCGATGATAGTGCTGGGATGCAAGTGGACAAAGAATGGGGTATCACAAGTGTCAATTCGTCTAGAAAATGGTATGAAGACCAATCATATGTCCTCCCTCAACATGTCCAACAAGTCTTTTATCTTTAAGACTTGAAACTAGGCAAAAACTGGTTTGTCGTCGAGAGGTTCAGTCCAAGGCACTTGTATGATGTTCCTGAAGATTTAGAAAAAGAACCAATGGTTGAGGAAATATATCAAGAAGAAGCAACTGGGGATTTCACTATTATAATAGACCTCGACAATCCACCATTACTTTCAAGAGAAGACAATGAGATACCGAAGGCTGTACCTTCATCCATTGTACATGCTGAGAAGTCAACAAATAGCACAAATGGCACCTTTGAAGACTTCATTAATGATGATGATGAAGTGAATGAACATGAGTCTAACAATGAGGAAGACGAAGAGGAGATTCTTAGTGATAATGACATCGATTCGGAATAGGTGAAATTGATGAGGACTACATGACACTAAATTTAATCTCTTTAACTCCGGCTAACTAGTTTTTATTCCTAAATTATACTATGCTGTAACACTAACTTCTTGTTACTTTTAGATGGCTGGACCAGGAAAGCGAGGCCAAATGCTGCAGAGAAAAGCTCAAGGTGCACAACAGCCTGCAATACCTAATTCAGTTGGAAGCAATCAACCAAGAAGTGCATCCAAGAGTGTATCCTCAGAGGATGCAATATATGTCACTCCAACTTCTTCACCTAGAGAAATTGCTAGTGAGAGTAGGATGATACACCATCAGACATCTGAGTCTCGTGCATCCGGAGAAAATGAGACAAATCCAGTTTCGGATGAGCAAGAAAATGGTAAGTTAGACTTCATTTTCACGGCTGAAATTAAAAATCAAGTTTCTATTTCATGACTGACTTTGTTAATGTGGTCAAAGTAATGTATGGACTGATATTTGTTAATAGCTATGCTGCTGTCAGCAAGAAGAAGAGGACGTACACGAAATCTATCATTATCAAAAAAAAGGGAGGCTAATGAGACGCTCACCATTGAAATTGATGATTGTATTCGGCGGATTGTTGGGAAGGATTCTCAATACTTCATCACAGAAGGGGGTTGTGTTGTTAGGAAGGCTGCTAGGCTTAATGTTCCAAAGTGGTCCCATCTCAATCCCGGTGACCGAGAAGGCATATACAGCACGGTTACGGTATTTGTTGTCCTGCTAATACTCTAATTTCATCCAGAAAGTATGAGAGATTTTATTGCTTTAGATTTGCTTGGTTTTAAGTAGATTGCACTGTTATTGTAGGATGACTTTCGATTTCCAGAGCACATCACCTCAAAAACTGCTATTAATAGGCAGTTAAACACACAATATCGAAACCATCGATATCGGCTTCACAAGTATTTCCAGAGTTTTGAATCAAGGCAAGAAGCATTGAGGCAAGTTCCTGAAGGTGTGAGTGAAGAAGATTGGAAGTGGCTGGTCAGCTACTTTGAAAATGATGAATTTAAGGTTAGCTTGTCAAAATAACCTATCCTTTTATTAAATTTCAGATTTCACTTCACAAATTTGCTAATCTTTGTCAGTTAAAATTTTCACTAATTTGTGGCAGAAAATTAGTGAACGTAACAAGCAAAATCGTGCCAAAAATGACTGCTACACTACTGTTGGCACAAAATCGCTTGCAAGAGTTGTTGAGGAAAAGGTAATCTGAAACCCAGCCAACAGTTGTACATGTCCATCCTTTTTGTCATATGACTGAAAATGAAAAAATTGAAAATTTGGACAGAAAAGGAAAGAAGATGTCGAGCTTTCAGAGATAGACATGTTTGAGTTAAGTCGAAAGTCAAAGAAGTCAGGGGGGCTGGTAAATGACAAAGCAAAAGAGACCTTGGTGAGCTGTTTCACTTGGATAATGGATTTTTAAATTATTGACATCCATTCCAGCTACATAATGATCATATTTTTTACTTGCCTAGGACAAAATGAGGGAATTGCAGGCTACAACTTCAATGACTAGCAAGGAAATATGCGAGTAAGAACTTGGTTACGTACCTGGACACATCCGCGGTCGTAGTGCAACCAAGAAGCAAGCTGCTGAGGTAGAACGCTGGAGGCATGAGATTGAGGACAGCCGAAAAAGAGCAGATGAAGCAGAAAAACGAGCTGCAGAAGTAACTCAACAATTCACTGCTCAGCAAGAGTTGATTAAGACCTTGCAACAGCAACAAACAGAAACAAGAAGCCTGTATGATGAGTTAGCTAACCAGCTGAAAGACTTGCGCAAATAAGCAACTTCTGTGCCAGGTATAAATAAATTGTTTGCTCTTCATAGTTATTACAATTGAGGCACTTGAATTCTGGTTCTACAAAATAGAGATTCATTTTTAATACAATTGGGTTGCTTGATGTCAATTTAGTTGCTTGATGGCACTTGAAATCTGGTTCCACCAAATCTGATTCCTGTTTAATGCAATTGAGTTGCTTGAGGCTGATTTAGGTGCTTGAAATCTTGTTCATGTTTAATTACAGCCATTGAGGTGCTGGATGTTGCAACCAAAACTTAGTGTTTTTAAAGCAAATGTGTTTGAACGTTGGGATGTATTCCACTTTTTTCTTTGTCGAACTCATCTAAATTTTTCTGTATCAGAATTTTTTTTTGTGCTAAGGAAAAAGAGGCACCTGTGATTGTGTGTGTGTGTGTGTTTTTTTTCTTGATATACTGTGTGGTTCACGATCATCTAGGCTCTCAATGATTTTCAAGCGGATAGACCAGCTATGATTGTAAACCTGTAAAGCAAGCAGGCTACTAGTCCTGTTGGAGTGTCTAACCTGGATAGTGAACATGTTCTTGTTAATAGAGATTAAGGAGTTTTGATGTGCACATAATATCCAATGTAAACTAGAAAGTTCTCTTAGAACTCTTGAACGTGGTTCAGTTGTACTCCACCACATTGGAGCTTTCTTGAAACAAAAAATATGGCGGATTGGGCTAAATGAATATATGCATTTGCTTAGTTGATCCTTTCTTTTGGTGGCGTTTTTGGTGTTTTGTGTGTTTTGGGGGGGGGCAATGTAGATTTACATAGTAAAGCAAAGCCTATACTAGATACAAGTAGATCAGCAAAAACACTTCTGGGACAGGTCCCATTCCAGAGCTAATTTCCAAGGTTACTGTGTTAGTGGAATCTTCCACCAAGCTACTACCACATGTTGTTTCTCATCCACAATTAATGGACCTCATAATACTGACAGCTGAAGTTGCCTGAGCTCTGAAGAAAATCTTTCAATAAATAATAAACTTTGCACCCCTAAATCAATTGTCATTCCATTTTTTAAGTGATCCACCCTAAAAAAAAAGTTGGTTTTTTAGCTTCCTGTTTCATCTGTGATCAAGAATAGTTAAAAGTTTGAGGTTCGGACATGCTCTTCATGAAAATGCATAATAATAATCACAACAATGTTGTTTGATTTATACTTTGGGTAACTTTCGAGATTTTATAGTTGTACAAAGTTTAATAGTGCCTTTATCAAGCTACGCTTTTATTCTTGGTCCACAAGAAAGATTCAATAGAGAAATAGATTAGTTGTATACTTTCGTAGTACGCAATTAACTGTCAATGGTTTGTTCTTGCTTACTATTCAATATATATAATTTCACTCTATTTTTGTGTTAAGCAATTTACTTAGATTGCTATAATTTCAAATTAGAGTGACATTAGTTTTTATAATATGGTGCCTATCTAGAAGTGTAGTTCCAGTTTTAACACCAGTGCTCATTGCTTCAATTTTGGTAACGTGTAGGTTCTAACACGATTCCCAAGAAGAAGAAGCCAGTCATTGCTGTGAAGATGGTTTTTGAATTGAAGACTACAAGGCCTATCGTGCTCATGTTTTGTTCTAGATGGGAATCGTGCTCATATTTTTGTATAGAACTTTACTACTCTCTATTATGGATGGGAAATCACTAGTATTGTAACTGAATGGCTTATTTTGGATGGTGCATGGTTTATGACTCATTTGAGGCAACATTTATATATATATATATATATATATATATATATATATGTATTTGGGTTGATCTTCTATTGGAAATGAATGTTGGTTTTCTTTTCGTATGTTGGCTTTTTTTTTCTCCTTGGTACTCAATGAACATTTTGTGATTGTTGGCAGCTATGTTGCGTAATTAACATTAGCTTATTGCTTTTTACAAAAAATAAATGACAATAAAAAAGTTGTCACTGCCAACAAGTTTTACTAGTGACACTAGAAAGTCGTCACTTTTTATGGATGGAAAACAATGACAACAAAAGTCGTCACTGAACGGAAGCATAATGTGACAACTCCAAGGGTTGACTATGACAAGAATTTAGCCAGCTTAGTGACAATAAAAGTCGTCACACAATGTACAACAATGAGTGACGACAAGAGTCATCACAAAAGCGAAATCGTTTGTGACGACTTTCAACAGTCGTCACATGGACCCCCTTTTGTGACATAGAACTAGTGACAGCTCTGTGACAGCAGTAAAAGTCGTCACTGACTTTTTTTGTGATGACTTATGAATTTTTAGTGACGACTTTCGCCTGTCACAGAAACGCAATTTTCTTGTAGTGACATCACGCTTAAAGTGAAAAAAAATAGAAAACTTGGAAGATTGACATATAATTCAAGTAAAAAATGGATAAAAAAGCAACTAAAAAGAAGTCAAATATGCCAAACCAGTGCCAAGTATCCAAGCATTGCAAGTGTCTTGGTATGCAGAACACTATTTTCTTCATCCAAAAACTTTGCCATACCAAAATCACTCACATGAGCAACCATACTTTCATCGAGTAATATGTTGCTAGGTTTCAGATCGCAGTGAACCACTGGTGTTGTATAACCAAAATGGAGATATTCCAATGCGGAAGCAACATCCATCATTATGCTTATCCTTTGCAGCAGATCCAGGCAATGGTTGTGGGAGTACAACCATTTCTCAAGGCTCCCATTGGACTTATAATCAAGCACCAAGGCTTTAAAGTCCAAGTTAGAGCAGCTACCAATCACTTTGGTTAGGTTTCTATGGCGAAGGTTGCGTAGAACTACACACTCTGTATCAAAACTCCCGGAAGTGACTTCTGCTAGTAAAGTGAAAACTTTCACGGCTACAACTGTCCCATCCGTCAAAATACCCTTATATACAGATCCAAAACTCCCTTTGCCAAGCAAATTGCTTTCATCATAACCATTGGTTGCTTGCACAAGTTCATAGTATGAAATCATTTTTGGCAATCCCATGGGCAACAAATCAGTATTTCTTGAAGCCTCATCCTTCCTTTGGCATCTTAAAAGTAAAATTGCAGCAGTTGTAAGAGCAATTATTGTTGCTGCAATACCTGATAGAATGCCTAGCATATGAAATACTTTCTTCTGACTGGATTTGTGAATCCGAGGAGAACCACATGGAGGAACATGAAATCTCTGAGCGCCACACAAGTCATCATTAGACATGAATGATTCATATGTGAAGTTCTTGAAAGGACCACTGGAGGGAATTTCTCCTCTTAAGTGGTTGAAAGAAAGATTAATGTATTTGAGATATAAAAGTGTCTCCAAGGACTTTGGTATTGGACCTGATAGATTATTATTGGATAGATCTAAAAATTCCAAGCTTAACATCTGATTGAGAGAGTCTGGAACAGGTCCCTGAAGTTTATTTTGTGCTAATGAAAGCGTTGCTAAACTTTGCAAGCCTCTTAAGGAACTTGGAATATTCCCATTAAGGTGATTTCCTGACAAATCTAATAGCGTTACTACCTTCAAATTTCCAGTTTCATAAGGTAGTGAGCCACTCAAGAAATTTATATGACAGGTTCAACGTCAAGAGATCAGCGAGGTTCCACAAGCTACCGGCAAAGTCAATTACTCTCAGGGAACTAATATTATTTAAGCATGATGGCATTGACCCACGAAACTGGTTTTGCCCCAGATAGATTTGGGACAATCTCTTTAACTTGCAAATGGAATCTGGAATTGAACCACTTAATTGATTAGCACTCAAATCCAAACCTTGAAGATTTTGCAAGTATTCCATTGTGCTCGGAACGGTCCCACTCAGGTGATTTCCATCTAGACTCAAAATCATTAGGCTGCTCAAATTCCCAATTGCATCGGGAATGCTTCCCTTGATTCCGCAACCATATGCATAGAATCTCTCCATAGAAGTTGAGAGATTCCCAATTGACATCGGAAGAAAACCATGCAGCGGATTTTCAGAAAAGTCTAAAATTTTCAGATACTTACAATTTGTTAAGTAACTGATAAAGCTCAATTCTCTCGATGAAGGTTCAGTTGTCAAATGATTATCAACGAGACCCAATACTCTTAGAAGTCTTAGGTTTCCAAGAGAGTTTGGAACTGGACCGCTGAATCTATTTCCAATCGACCCTAAAATAGTCAGCTTAGACGCATTTGAGATTGAGGCTGGTATCACTCCATCCAACTCATTCGAATCGAGAACAAGCCATTCAAGGTTGATCAATCCATGACCCATGGATGACGGACGCCTTCCAGAAAGCGTATTGTCCGATAGGTCCAGTACTCGCAGTGTCAAGATGTTGAATATTTGGGCTGGTATGGATCGAGTTAGGCCATTGGAGCCCAAACTAAGTTCGTCAAGATGCTTTAGGCGGCCGAGCTCTTGTGGAACGCTACCTAGAGAGTAACCTTCGTCTTCATGCATGCTACGGATTAATTTACTCATATTAGAATGTTTTAAATAATTTACTTAAAACCTTCGTCTTCATTACAAGGAATTGCTTTTTTTTTCGGATAAAATACTTTCACAACAACCAAGAGATATTTAAGTCAATAGGGTTTGAAGCCAATAGAATAGTTTTTTCTTTCAGATAAATGCATATATTTTTGCAGATTAATATGCTTAATAATTACAAACATGATAAAATCTAGAAAAAACCATATAAAAAGATTCAAGCTTATATATATATATATATATATATATATATATATATATATATATATATATATATATATATATATATATATATATATATAACTTCACAAAAAATTTAAAAAAAAGGGAAGCCTAAGCTTTGGTAGTTTGTTGAGGTGATTGTGTCATTCATATTTTGATTATTACGTCTGGAAATGTTATACGGTCTTTTTTACCACCACATATGTTTAATAAGAAAATTCTTTGTATTCTTCTTTAGTTACCGAAAGTGTTACCAACTATTTTTTCAGGTTTGATAAGTAATTACCTTTATGTTATTCTATAATTTGTGTACCTCCGGATTTCCTTCATACAAGCCTTCAAACTACTAATCAATATATTATTTAATTGTTTGAGAATATACAACTAGGAATATGTAGCTCTCTTGTTTTTTTCTAATTTCAGCTAAAATGCAAAAAGAGTTGGGCTATTACCAGCAAAAGTAATAGTCTCCAATGACGAAATATTGAACACCCCCAATGGCAAAGGACAAGAAATCTGATTGTTAATTTGTTGATGTTCACTCTCTTCAATTTGTTTAGATTCCGAATCTCTATTAGAATTGTCCCTCGTAGAGAATTGATGTTTCTAGCTTTGGTGACATGAGATTTTACATTCAAGCACCGTGATTAATTAGCTTTGAAATATTTATTCTAAAATATAAAACAAAGTTACATTAGATTACGAACTTTGTAATGCATACCTAAATGCAAATTGTTAATCAAATTTCCCTAAATGACAATTAAAACATGGAGCCTTTTAAATTATTAATCAAATAGTTATATGTACATTTATCTGATATCTGCTAAAATTCAAGAGCTAGGATGGTACCAATCAAATTGTTCTGCCAAGACGTAGATCCACTAGCGCCGTCAAGTTCCCAAATCCTTCGGGTATCACTCCAATCAAATTGTTGCCCCCAAGACGTAGTTCCACAAGCACCGTCAAGTTCCCAAATCCTTCCGGTATCACTGCACTAAAGTTGTTGTAAAACAACCTCAGTACCTGAAGCTTCGAACACTCCGATAACGATGTGGGTATCACACCACTTAATTTGTTGCGGCCAAGGTCAAGCCATGTGAGTCCTTGAAGACGGAGACATATGCTGGATGGAAGACTGCCAGATAAGCTATTACTTCGAAGAGCAATAGCTTCGAGTGAGGAAATATTGAACAGCCCAGTTGGCAGAAAACCGGAAAGCTGATTAAAGTCGAGGACAATTTACTTCAAATTTTTTAATTTCCCAATCTCCATTGGTATTGCTCCTTGTAGAGAATTAAACTGCAGATTGAATGTCTCTAGCTTTGACATGTTGGAGATAGAAGGTGGGATAAAGCCTGTAAAGCTATTGTTCTTTAGAGAAAATTGTCGGAGTTGTTGGAAGGAACCAACCCAAGAGGGAATATTTCCGCTAAGCATGTTAATGCCTAAACTAAGGACTCGTAACCTTGACAGACGAATCAATTCATGGGGAAGTTCTCCGTAAAAGTTGTTCCTGCTCATATCGAGGGACATGAGAAAGGAGAGATTGTCCAGTTGTGGAGGAATGGTGCCGGTAAGGCCCAAGTTGGAGATATTCAAGGCAGTGACTCTACGGTGGTGAAAGCCGCAAGTGACTCCTTTCCAGTCACAAACTGAGGAAGTAGCCGACCAGTTGCTTGCCAAGATTTCGTGAGGATCCCCAGTGATTTTGGCTTTCAATGAGAGAAGGGCTGATTGATCAGAGGTAATGTTGGGGGCGGCCATGGCTAAGCAAGATAAGAGAGAACCTAGCAAGAAGAGTCCAGGGGGAAAATACAAGTGAGATAATTTCTTCATGATTATACTCTCAGTTTTGCTAGCATTTAAGGGATACCTTTATGATAGGAACCTGCCTATGGTAGGAATGCCGGCAGAGAGCGACACGTGTTGGGTTGCAAACAGTACAAACGGAGACGTTAAAATGTTGGAGAGCGCATGGAGAGGAAATCAAGCAGAACTGTGTGTAGATGGAAGCAAACAGCACACTGACTTCCGTACTATCTCGTAGGTTAGGACAGGAAGTGTTATTACATGTTAGAACCAGAGGCATTTATGTATTTGCAAATGTACCCATTACCAATGGAAAAATGCTGCAAATGCCTTGGACAAAAAAATGTGTGTAAAGATGGTACAGAAATTTGAAGAAATAATAAAGGATTATCGCACACGCATGGGGGATAATCATTTGGAAGAAGGAAAAGTGGAGGTAAACGAAAGGATTCAAGCCTTCATTATAGTTATATACATATATAAATTTAGTACCAAGTGTTGAGCTTAAGCATGTGGAAAAATGGAGTAGTAACTATCGTTATGGTAAAAAAAACAGTTTTAGACATGATATAATAGGTTATAATAATTTTAGTAACCATTTGATTACGTGTTGGACTTATCCACTTGAATAGGATTATGCGTAAAAATAAGGTAGTAAGTTTCTCATCTAAAATAGTAAGTTAACGTAATACATTAGTAACTTTTGCAGCCCAAAAAGTGAATTGAAAGTATTATGAAACATACTTTTTAAAGAAATAAATTACAATTTTTATCCTCAATATACTTTTGAGGGAGTAAGTTTATTCGAAGTAATAGTATGTTTTTATACATAAATAATCATTTTTACTTATAATATAGTAAATTTGATTAATGACAAAAACATGCTAAGTTATGGTAAAAATATTCTATTATGCCTAAAAAACTTATGCCAAGCCCATATTTTATTGTTATTTGAAATAACAGTAAAATGTTTTATTAATGATTAAAACTGAGTACCTTACTTAGTAAGTACTGTTAATATACTTGTATAAATACTTGATTGTATGTGAATAAATTAGTATTTTTGAAATTATACATAATTAAATTTTTTCTGTGGCAGTTTTTTTTTAAAAAAAGTAAGCGAAATTTTTTTGGCGCACGACACAAAAATCCACAAGTCAAAATAGTTGGTCTGAAAGGGAAAGATACAGCTGAAGATCATTGTTTAAAGCACTAAATAAATAGATGTAAAATGTTGGTTAAAAGCTGGTACTTTGACATATAATAAAGGAAAGTCATAAAAAGCAGGCCATTTATGGAAAACGTTTTCATTAACAAAAATACCAGCTCTTCACGGCTTTCTTACCAGTCCTCCAAAGTATGACCAAAGTGCCAATACTTAAAATAGTAATTTTTTCGATTTATACAGAATTAGTTTGTTTTGTGCATTTTAAAAAAAATAATGAAAATTTTTTATCAGAAAGCATATAAGTCAAAAGGATTGGTGTAAAAGGGAAAGGAATAGCAGATATGTACAGTACTTGTATTTCACATTCGAAGGACTACAGTGCTGTTTTTGAAAAATAGCCCGAAAAATATGTAATCCAATCGGAACCGATTCTTCATTATTTAAAATACCAAATCTGTGATTTTCTCTTTTAACTGTTATCCATTGATATCTTAAAGTGTCATTTTTTCATCAAATACCACCACTTTAACACCCATTTTTCCTTAAAAAATTTATTGATTGGATAAAATAAAAATAAACCGGTTTTGCAATAAAACACTGGCTCTTTATAGCTTTTCTCCATTATAAGAACAGAGTACCCATTTTTTCATAGAAAAATTTATTTGTCGGATTAAATAAAAATAAACCCGTTTTTCAATACAACACTAGCTCTTTATGGCTTTCCTCCATTATAAGAACAGAGTACCCATTTTTCTATAGAAAAATTTATTTATCGGATAAAATAAAAATAAATCCGTTTTTCAATAAAACACTAACTCTTTATGGCTTTCCTCCATTATAAGAATAGAGTGCCCATTTTTTCATAAAAAAATTTATGGATAAAATAAAATAAAAATAAACCCATTTTTCAATAAAATACTAACTCTTATGACTTTCCTCTATTATAAGAACAGAGTACCCATTTTATCATAAAAAATTTTGTTTATCGGATAAAATAAAAATAAATCCGTTTTTCAATAAGACACTAGTTCTTCATGACTTTTCTCCATTATAAGAACAAAGTACCCATTTTCTCATAAAAAATTTATTTATCGGATAAAATAAAAATAAACCCGTTTTTCAATAAAACACTACCTCTTTATGATTTTTCTCTATTATAAGAACAAAGTACCCACTTTCTGATAAAAAAAAATTATTTATGGGATAAAATAAAAATAAACTCATTTTTCAATATAACACTAGCTCTTTATGGTTTTCCTCCTTTATAAGAACAGAGTACCCATTTTTCATAAAAAATTTTGTTTATCGGATAAAATAAAAATAAATTCGTTTTTCAATAAAGCACCAGCTATTTATGGCTTTCCTTCATAAATTATCTAGTTTTCCATTTTTTCATAAGTTAATTTATTAGTTGGATAAAATCAGAATAAAATTGGGTTGAACAGTAAATTACCCTTTAGCATAAAATTGAAATACAGGAAAGTAACCTATAGCAAGTTTTAACTCCATTTCCAATACAAAAATATGCTAGAAATTCTTTTTGCAAACGCAAGACACCTAATTCATAAAGTCTCAAGAAACCTTTACAACCGTTATGCAAAAGCAACTTATTCATTCTAAATTTTTAGCATTAATTTGATTATCTGTTGGACGTATCCACCTGAATAGGATAATAAGTATTTTCTGGGACATGAGCCATAATAAGAATTAAACTTGTATTAATGTAGACATAAAAAAATGAGAGAAATAGCGTAACAATTAATACAATAAT